TGTGTTTTTATGTGGTATTTTGGACGTGCTTTGTCAGTTTTCATTCAAATTTGGCACATACATGTACTTTATACATGTTAGGATGCATGTCCATGACAGTTTGTTTCAAAATCTGGTCAAGGATGGCCGATTGACAGCCATCTGACTTTTTGGCCTTACTACTATATTTCCACAATTTATGTACCATTTTCATTCGTATTTGGCACATACATATCAGTGTGTTTCATAATCAGATCAAAAATGGACGAATAGCGTTTATTTTATTTTTTGCCATATTACTACTACCGGTACACGTAACACGTGTTTTGATGTTAATAAGCAATCTGTTGTATACGCCACTTGGAACTCAAGTTTCAAGAACACGTTCGCGACAACCCCTTCGCTTTAATATGACGAGCACAAAGAGAACTTTCAAAAATTTTAACGGGGACTGTGTCATTTTCAATGACTTGTTAATATGTGACATATTTATATGTTTGATACAGAGTCTGTTTTATTAATATGTGATTTATTTATGTGTTTGATACAGAGTCTGTTTAATTAATATGTGATATATTTGTATATTTGATAGTCTGTTTATTTAATATGCGATACATTTGTATATTTGATACAGAGTCTGTTTAATTAATATGTGATTTATTAATGTGTTTGATACAGAGTCTGTTTAGTTAATATGTGATATATTTGTATATTTGATATAGAGTCTGTTTAATTAATATTTGATATATTTGTATGTTTGATACAGTCTGTTTAATTAATTTGTGATATATTCATATGTTTGATACAGAGTCTGTTTAATTAGTCCCTGTTCGGACGAAGTCCGAAAACGGGGACTTATGACTTATAATTCGGTCTCCGTCTGTCCGTGCGTCTGTGCGTCCGTGCGTCTGTGTGATTATTTGATTGATACAGTGTCTGTTTAATTAATATTTGATATATTTGTATGTTTGATACAGAGTCTGTTTAATTAATATTTGATATATTTATATTTTTGATACAGGGTCTATGGTACCATAAACTGTATAGTTTTGGTGTTGTTGTGACTAATCCTAATGTTGTAGTTGGATGGTTAGCCGGACAACAAGCAGAACATATGGAGACACTCTCAGAGAGTGAGGTTGGCATCACATGTACAGGTTAGATATTTGTCAATCCAAGTGGATTTTAATATGTATGATTTAGTATGTATATGTACCTTGGAGTAATGTGAAGACATAATTAGTTTTAGTTTCATGCATATTAAGTAGCTAATTTGCATACTGCCTCATTTCAGCCTGTGTAAACAAAATCTTCTAACCCCTAATGCCATTTTTTTTATGAAACAACAATGATTTCATATCCTGCATTGACATGCAACTGGTGCTATAATTTGTTCTATGGCATGATGTATGACCAAAATGTCAAGTCATCATATATGGTC